AAACGCGCCCCCAGGTTAGGACATATTGCGTAAACGACCAGGTCAGTGACATATTCCGTAATACGACCAGAGTTAGCTGACATATTCCCTGTAAACGGACAGGTTTAGTGAATATTTCCCCGTAAACGACCAAGGTAGGACATTATTCCGTAACACCTTGTTAGTGAGACATATTCGTAAACGAACCAGGTAGTGACATATTCCGTAAACGCAACCAGGTTCAATGACATATCAGTAAACGGACCAGGTTAGTGACATTACCTTCCGTAAACGACCAGGTTTAAGTGCAACTATTATTCCGTAAACGACGAGATCTTACTAAGATAAACGCGCCGCGAACAACTCCGAGAACTCTCGGCGTCTGTCGTCGGTGAGGCGGTTTCCGTCGACGTCGACGTGACGTAGGCTCACGTTCGTCGCCGCGCACTCCACGATCACGTCCAGCACGTCGTCCTTCATCCCGCAGTAGTCCAAACCGAAGCTGCGCAGGCGAGTGTGTCGGCGACCGACCGCGCGATCTCCCGCCAGCCGAGGGTACCCCACGTGACCGTTTCCCGTCAGACTGAGGCCGCGGAGAGGGAAGTCTGCGCGCAGCAGCTCGGCTAGCTTCGTTGCTCCGACGTCGCCAAAGTTTTACAGTGCCCACGTCCATGTACTGTACGAGCCAATCGCAGGAGCTCGACGCTGGAGCCCTCTCGCCGACGAAAGTTTCCTGTTCGGCCGCGCTGGCAGCACCGTGAACCATATCAAATAGTTACCAGGGTACGGAACGTACCCAGGGTGCGTTCCGGCAGTACCCTGGGGGACATAGACCCTATGAGCAGTAGTATAAGCTCCAAAGATTCTGCCTGGATGATTAAATTTGCTGCTTGCCTTTTTCCTCTGGCAGTAAGCACTTACAAAGTTAAATCCTCTACTCACTTGCAAAATTTTTTTTTAATTTTTTGCCCTGCACGTAGGCAGTCGTTCACGGCCGCACGTTCTCTTGTTCCTCAGATACTCGGCGAAGCGAGCAAGCGGAAGCAGTACGACACGTGGGGCTCGGCAGGGGACTTCGGAGCCGGTGCCGGCGCGGGACCCGGAGGCTTCCAGGGATTCCAGTCGAGCATCGACCCGGAGGAGCTCTTCAGGAAGATATTCGGCGACCTCGGATTCGGAGGTCAGCGGGGCGGGGCCAGGGGCTTCCAGCAGCAGCAGGATCCGTTCTCGAACTACGGCTTCGCGGATGGTCCTTCACAGCAGGTTGGTGCGATAGAGGGAACAGCCCCTCATCGAAAGCAATCGTATCTAATCGAGCTGGGATAGTTATAACGAGTCCTGTGTTTGCGTGTAAAATCTTAATGTAGTCTAGAAGCTGTGTTTGGAAGTGCAGAATCTAATGAAAGTACCTTGATTGATTTGAGAACGTGAGACCAAAACTTTGGATGATGTTAGTAATCAAGTAGCCAGTTTTATCAGTACCATACATGTAGTCGCATACAGGTGAAAGTATCTTAAAAGATGATAAAACATCTTCATGATGTAACGTAACGTAATGTAATGTAATGTTATACATAATGTAACAATATAATATATATGCAACGTATAAAACTGTTTTACATTACATAATATACATGATGTAACAATCAAGTATGATTGCAACGTATAAAATTGTTATTAACATAACATAATAGCATAATATACATAATGTAACAATCTAGTATAGACGTTGTTAATAAAAATCTAGAACTGAATACAGTCGTACTAACCCGACGCTCTCACGTTCCACAGATGACGATGAGTCTCAGCTTCCAGCAGGCGGCCCGCGGCGTCAACCGGGACATCACGCTCAACGTGTTGGACACGTGTGCGACGTGTAAGGGCTCGCGCGCCGCCTCGGGAACAAAGGTCGAGCGATGCCCGCAGTGCAACGGCACGGGAATGGTAACCGCCTTCGTCGCATCACGCCCCGCCCCGCCGCGTCCCGCTACGCCTCGTCACGCCCCGCCTCGTTACGTTCCGCCGCGTCGCGCCCCGCCCCGCCGCGTCCCGATACGCCTCGTCGCGCCCCGCCGCGTCCCGATACGCCGCATCGCGCCCCGCCGCATCACGCTCCATTGTGTAGATGTTACGCGTTCTGACGCAGTTGACGTTGATCGTGAATGCTGATTCGTTGATGTTGGTAGTTGATCGTTGACTTAGATTGATGCTGATTGTTGTTGTTCATGTCGAATGTTGACATTAATGTTGATTATTGACATTAATGTTGATGATTGACATTAATGTTGATCGTTGACATTGATGCTGATCGTTGACCTTGATCATTGACATCGATTTGTTGAATTAAGATTATAGATTCTGACACGAAACCCTGCGGTTATCGCAATTACCTGTTCACTTGTCGTCATCGCCGCGCTCTTCTCTGCTTCAGGAAACGGTGAGTACGGGTCCGTTTGTGATGCAGAGCACATGTCGTCGTTGCCATGGCACCACCCAGCATGTGCCGCACCCGTGTCAGACGTGTCAGGGCCGTGGCTCGACCATGCAGAGGAAGACTGTCACCGTTCCCGTGCCCGCCGGTGAGTGGCCCCACCGCCGCGCCGCGCGGCGGCAGTCTAGGTACCGCGTCCGTCGCGTCTAACTTTACCCGTCAACGTTCTCTGAAGAAATACTTAATGATAAAATGATGATAAAAACAGTAATAATGTATAATATAA